ACTGATACAATGTATTAGTAGAAAGCAATAAAATGATAATATTGAATGCTATGTAATGACATGGGAGCTCTGGTAGCATAGTGCCTAAGACACTTGACTGCTAATCAGAAGGCAGGCGGTTCAAACCCACCAGCCACTCCTCGGAAGGAAGGTGGGGCAATCTACTTCCGTAGTGATACTGCCTCAGAAACCCAAGGAGGGGTCGCTGTGAGTCGGATCCAACTCCATGGCACATAACAACAACAACAACAACATATAATGACAAGAAAAAATAGCCATGATATATTAAGAAAGAAAAGCAGGTTAGCAAACAGTGTCATTTTATTAAAAATAAATCTGTATTAGATTTAGGTTTTTCTTTTTTCTTTTTCTTTTTTAGTATGTTGATATATGTACAGAATCTAGTCTATAAGGATTGTTGTTGTTGTTGTTGGATAAGCACTGAAAAATCAATAGATATGATTTCTGGATGGTAGGATTATAGGTGTTTAACTTTTTTTCTTGTCTTCACTTCTATTTTTTGCAATAAAATTTTTATTTGTATAATATAAAATAAAAGGCAATAAAATAATATTGTCTTGTGAAAGATTTAGCTGTAAGTAAGTTCATTACATTGTATCCAATAATGAAAAAATGAAAATAACCTAAATGTACAGCGATAGGGCATTAAAGCCAACATGGGACCTGTGGGATCTTCTCAATCACAAATAATTACCTTACAGAAAAACATTAATTAGTGAGAAAAGAGATATATTGTTGTTGTTGTTGTTGTTGTTGTTATGTGCCCTCGAGTCAGACCTGATTCACAGTGACCCCACCTTGGTTTCCGAGGCAGTATCACTATGGAAGTAGTTTGCCCAACCTTCCTTCCAAGGAGTGGCTGGTGGGTTTGAACCACCAGTCTTCTGGTTAGCAGTCAAGTGCCTTAGGTACATCAATTGTTAACTGTGCTTACCCCTGGGTGGTGGAACTATAGGTGAGTTTTGTTTTTGTTTTTTTTCTTTTTGATGGTCAAAATTTTCTGAATCTTCTACATTCTAAAATGAGGGAAATAAAGCACTAAGTGTTTTTTAATGCTTTCAAAGAAAGTAAGCTTCAAGAGACAAATTCCAAACTACATTAAAAAAAAGAAAAAATCCCCACTCAAAAGGAGCTATACAGTCCATCAAAAAAAACAAACCAAACTCACTGTCATTGAGTCAGTCCCAACTCATAGTGACCCCCCCTTGGGTTTCCGAGGCGGTATCACTATGGAAGTAGATTGCCCAACCTTCCTTCCAAGGAGTGGCTGGTGGGTGTGAACCGCCAGACTTAGGTGGTATAAAAAGTTAACATATTCAGTTGCTAACTGAAGGGTTGGCAGTTGTAGTCCACCCAGAGGACCCTCTAAAGAAAGTCCTGGCAATCTACTTCCAAAAAATCAGCCATTGAAAACCCTATAGAGCATAGTTCTACTTTGACACTTATGGGGCTTCCATGTCTGGGAATTGACTCAATGGCAACTGGTTATATGAATAAAGGATTCTAGGTAACTGAGGGGGGCTATCTCCATCTACTGATGACAAGGAGAAGTGAAGCACAGCCTTGCTCCGCAACTGAGATGCCTCACTCCCTCCTTCCTCCTCTCAAGTCTCGCTCCACAGTGTTGGCCACCAAGGTGGATACAGTGTAATTACACACCAGTACACACCAGTATATGAAGAAGGCAAAGGAGCTCTGGTGGTGCAGTGCCTAAGGCATTTGACTACTAACTGGAAAGTTGGCGATTCAAACCCACCAGCCACTTTGTGGAAGGAAGACGGGGCAATCAACCCCAATGGGGATTGATATGAGCCTGAATTCACTCAAAGGCAATGAGTTTGGGTGGAGATAGATATATATATGTACATACACACACACACACACACACACATACATACATACATACATACACACATACACACATACATAAAGGCAGGATGCTGCCACTGGCAGGGTCTCCTAGAGAATCACTGGCCTAGCTACTTGCCTTTTGGCAAGTAATTTAATAGACTTCCTGGGCCAGAAGATTGTTGACAGGCAGTGTGGTTGGTGAAGTTGTCAGGGGACAAAGTTCTCTGTAAAGTCTCCATTCCTGGCCCAGGTTGTCTCTTGGCATCTGCTACAGCTTTCCAGGCAATCCTAGTCTGGTGGCTGAGCCTCTTAAAGGAAAGGAGAGGCTGCAGGGGGTGGGCCATGTCTCAGGCAGCCTGCTGCAAAAGGGCCAGGAAACAGAGGTGGGTTCTTAGACACAAAATATACCTGGAGGTTATAAAGCAGATTCTCCAAAAAGTCCTTACCCCTAATCCAAAAAAAAAAGTTCAAATCGGTTGCTGTCAACTTAACCCTGACTCATGGCAACCTCATGGGTGTCAGAGTAGAACTATGCTGCATAGGGTTTTTCAGAAGTAGAATCATCAGGACTTTCTTCCAAGGCACCTCTGGGTGGACTTGACCTGCCCACAGTCCTGTTAGCAGGCCCAGTGTGTTAACTGTTTGCACATCCAGGGATTTCTCCCACCTGTGGTGGCATAGTGCCTAAGGTACTTGACTGCTAACTGGAAGGCTGGCAGTTCAAACCCACCAGCCTCTCCTCGGAAGGGAGATTGGGCAGTCTACTTCTGTAGTGATACTGCCTCAGAAACCCAAGGAGGGGTCGCTATGAGTCGGATCCAACTCGACAGCAGTGAGTTTGGTTTGGGTTTTTTGATAAGCAGCCCACTTAATGTCTCCTGGAAGTTTATTGCTGCAGCCTCCTAACTAGTTTCCCTGCCCTTAGTGTCTGCCCAACGCACCTTCCAAGCCCCTGTCATGCTTCTGGAAATATAGCTAATTATTTCATTCCTAGGATCAAAATATTTTATCTAAAATCAGTACTTCTCAAACCTTCCCAATGAAGTGCCCCAACAGCAGACAAAAGAAATGCTTTAAGTTTCCCCAGGGAACAGTGTCGCCTGAAGCTCCTGCCAGCAAGCCCAAACTCTCTTTGAAGTCTTTTGTTTTCTCTTAAAAATTGATGAGAATTTTGCATTCTGCTCCATGATATATCTGAATTCTCTTTAATATGAAGACGTTTAAAATTATTCACCTCAAGGAAAACTGATGCTCCTGAAAGAAATGCTGTGTTTATCCAGAGGGTTTCAAGTATCCTCCTTGGAGAAGCACCCACAGGATAAAGTCCAAACTCCTGACATGCAAAGCTCTTTACAGTTCAGCCCTCACAAATCTTTCTGTTTGTCTCTCACTGCTCCTTTGCACCCACTCCAGTCTCCAGCACTCAGTCTCCTGTCATTTCCTGATATGTCAGGTTTTCTCAGACCCTGTGTGTTTGTCCATGCTCTTCCCTCTTGCAGCAGCCCACTCTCTACTTGTTGACATCCCACCATCCCTCAAGGCTTCAAGGGGATCAAACACCACCTTCCACATTAAACCTTCTCTGATAGCTCCTGACAGATACAACGTGAGAAGTAGCATGATGCAGTGAAACAGCTTACACTTTGGAATCAGAAGTTCGTTGTTCAAATCCTCACTCTAACCCTTGCCACTGGGCAACTTACCTAACTTCTCTTAGATCTCATTTGTAAAAAAGGAAATAATTATGCCTCTCTCACTGGGCTGTTGTAAGAATTAAATAAGGTTCAAGGAATAGTGTGGTGTCCAGCACATGAATATTACTTTGCTCTCCATCTCTCTCCAAATTGCTATGTTGTTGTTGTCTTTAGTTGTCCTGGAGTCAATGCCAACTCATCGTGACCCTATGTGTGTTGGAGTAGAACAGCTCCATAGGGATTTAAAGGCTGTGACCTTTTGGAAGCAGACTGCCAGGCTTGGCTTGTCTTCTAAGGAGCCTCTGGGTGTGTATGAACCACTAACCTTTCAGCTATAGTTGAACGCTTAAGGGTTTGCACCACCCATGGCCTCCTCCAAAAGATTTCCACAGTGATTTATTTATGCCATTCATGTGAAAAGCACACATTATTACATCGTCATTCTTTTTATAATAGTTTATCTTCTCTGAACAGATCAGTGATTCTCAATGTCCCAAAGAAGCTTCTCACCCTCACCCTTGCCCCCCAGAATCTCTTATCTTGAAAGATTTTGGTTATTAAATCTAACACATTTCTGAAATAATAGCCTGCTTTTCTAAGTTCTCTATCCTATCAAGTTTTTTGAAATCTTGAGAGAGTTCCCAGCCGTGTCTAACTTTAAGGGACTTGGAAGTGGGAGCCACCCACCAAGGCCATAAACACCTTGAGACTAGAGCTCCAGTCTTCAAACTTCCCACAGCACCTCACTCAGCGCCTTGCACTCAGAACACGCCCAGTAACTGCTTGTAGCATAAACAAAAAGTTTCACACAGATGACAAGGGGGAAAGCATTCCCCAAATTAGCCTGTTGGTGTACAGAAAGGGGTCATTGTTACCCAAGCAGAGCTGGAGGCGAGCCCTTCTCTCCCCCCCACCCAGAGCAGCACCCCCAATTACACCAGCTGCCCTCCAACTTCTGTGTGTGAGCCGATTAAAAAGCGCCCTCTCTTCAGTGTCTGGAAACTCCTGCAAAGAAAGTTTGCTGCCCAAAGTTGGCTTTTGACTAGAGTCTTAATAAGAGGCCTCAGCAGGCTGTAGCTAGAGAGACAATGTCACTTAGAGGAGCAGCTTGAAGCGGCAGTTAGGAGAAGAATTATTTTAATGAATACATTTCCTTTCAATTGTATGGGAATATCAAGATCCCATTAGAATGGGGAAGCAATTAGAACTAATAAAGATGAATGCACAGTGCTCCGTGCGTGCGGAATAACAAGCAGCCAACAAAGGGGCTCCGGAGAGCCCGCTCTAATCCAAATGAACTGGCGGCCAGCAGAGGGAAAGGGCTCTGTTAGTTGCTCAAAGCCCCTGTGTCCCCACATTCTGATCACGGCCCGCGGCGGTGCCCAGGAGGGGCGGGGGCGGGGGGCCGCCCTAGCCCGGCCTCTGAGGACTGCGATGGGCTGTTGGCAGCCCCTTGGCGACAACCATTCAGACCAGGGCGCTGGCTCCCAGCCAGCCTCGCGCCTGCCCCTCGCACTGGGCCTCATTGTGTCCAGGTGGCAAATGCCTTCTCGCCAACTCTCCTTCGAGGTTTGGAGAGGGGGTGGGACCGTGAAGGAGCGAGAAAGGGGCGAATGAGTAGGGGACTCAACTTCCCCCCCTCCCCCCCAACACACGCAACTCTCCCCTCCCCCCGCTGGCCAGCGTCTGCTCCTCCTCTGGGTTTGGTGTTATGTTACAGACACTGGTGAGTCACAGGGAGCCAAACACAGAAGTACACTGTTGCTTACACAATTACTCTTCAAACAGTAACAAACAATTTTCATTACCCAAGTCAGATCGAATCATTCGCCTGCCCATCCTGCCTCACTCCCTGCCATACAAACAGGGCTCAAGGCCTCAGGCTCTGCCCATTCTGCTGTGACAAAACTGGGCACCCACTTTGTCCCCCCAGCCCAGGGATACAAGACAAAGCCCTTCCTCTGATCCCTTCTTTGAGCCAGATCAGCTGCATGGCTGTCAAGACTGTCTGGAGAAATAGAGAAGAGGGAAGCACCCATGCGGTTTGGGGTCCGCTCATATAGATCTGGGGTGAGATGTTACTTAGCACCTGCATGAAGAAGGCACTCAAAAGAGTTTGAAGGATTCTGTTGCCAAGTTTAGAAGGAATCCAACAAGATAACCCTGGCACCCCACCAAAGCATTCACTGGCCTCTGGATGGAGTGTCAGTACTTGACATTTCTTTATTTAATCTTTTTTGGCCAGACGGTTTCTTCAACGAAGAATGTGTAAACTCATTCCAAAATGTCTGCATGAGAGGCCAATCACACTCATTACTGGAATTTTTCTACCACTTCTCTTTAAAGAAAGTCTGTAACATTTTATACAGAATATTTGTTTCTTAATGATGGAGCACTTTAAAAGCAAGTTTACATTTATAATCTTATTTGAACTTCAAAATAACCCCGTGGGGACAGCAAAGCAAGGGTTGTCAGGTCTGAAGATGAGGACACAGTGGCCTAGAGAGGTCAAGTGTCCTGTGCAGGGTCACAGATGCATTGAGTAGAGAAGGGTCCTCAGAGTTTGGGTCTTATGACCTGGCTCTATTATCCTAGGAGATGCCTTTTCTACACAGCCACAGGGCTGTGGACATTTCCAGGGTAATTCATCCTATAATTCTGCATTGCCAGTGTAACTCCCTTATCCTCTTCTACTTAATGAACTGTACTAAGTGGTGTGGGCTATCAAAAACTCTGGTCTAGGCTGCAAAGGCTCCCTAGGAAGGTTTCAATCTAATAGTTGTCAAGGTATTTGTCTTGCCATCCCCCTACCAAGGAGAAATACACTGCCCTCTTCTAATAGCTTAGATAAGGATTGTTTTAAAAGTCTACCTATCTAGCACATTGTATGCACAATCAGTACTTGAAAAATAATTATTTAGGTCCCCCCTACTATCAACAAGGCTGGCAGTTCATATCCACCAGCCACTCCTCGGAAGGAAGACTGGTTAATCTACTTCCATAGACATATGCCTCAGAAACCCAAGGAGGGGTTGCTATGAGTCAGATTTGACTCCATGGCAGTGAATTTGGTTTTTTCTTTTCTTTTTTTTTTTTCACTATCAACACAGGATCCCTGGTGGCACAGTTGTTGAGTGTTCAGCTGCTAGCTGAAAGGTTGCTGCTTCCATCATAAAGATTATAGCCTTGGAAAGCCTCTGTCCCATTGGGTCACTGTGAGTCAGAATTGACTTGATGGCAATGTTTTTTTTTCGTTTGTTAGTATCAACATTATAGCATTTCGTGATTGGCAAGCAGTAAAGCAAAGTCCATTCATATACATCAAACTCCCCACCAGAGCCCATATCTAAAGATCTGTTCATTTGATTTTTAAAAATATTTTTCACTTTTATAATTTCAAGGTAAAATTTATATACAGTGAACTGCATTGATATTAAGAGTATAGTCTGATAAATTTTCACAAATGTATATTGATATTAACTGTACAAAAACCAAACCAAACTCACTGTCATCAAGTTAGACCCACCTTATAGCGATCCCTCCTTGGGTTGCCAAGGCAGTATCACTACAGAAGTAGATTGCCCAACCTTCCTTCTGAGGAGTGACTGGTGGGTTTGAACCACCAGCCTTCTGGTTAGCAGTCAAGTACCTTAGGCACTATGCCACCAGAACAGTTTGATAAATTTTGACAAATGCAGGAAGTGGCAGCCAGGGCAGACAGCCAGAACAGGTAAGAGGGAGAGCCCCCAGGCAGGAAGCTAAGGGAGACAAACTGATCTTTCAGTTTATTATACTGTGGTGGCTTCCGTGTTGCTGTGAAGCTGGAGGGAGTGCCACCAGTGTTTCAAACACAAGCAGGGTTGCCTATGGTGGACAGGTTTCAACGGAGCTTCCAGATTGAGACAGACTCGGAAGAAGGAAGAGGCCATCCACTTCTCAAAGAATTGGCCAGTAAAAACCTTATGAATAGCAGTGAAACACTGTCTGATATATTACTGGACAACTTTATGAATAGCCTTGAAATATTGTCTGATACAGCACCAGAAGATGAGCCCCTCAGGTTGGAAGGCACTCAAGATACGAGTGGGAAAGAGCTGCCTCATCTGAGTAGAGCTGGCCTTAATGATATGAATAAAGTAGAGCTTTTAGGACCTCCCACTCCTCGGAAGGAAGATTGAGCAATCTACTTCCGTAGTGATACTGCCTCAGAAACCCAAGGAGGGGTTGCTATAAGTTGGGTCCAACTCAATGGCACATAACAACAACATTTGCTGATGTGGCATTACTCAAAATGAAAAGAAACAACTGCAAACATCCATTAATAATTAGAATATAGAATGTATGAAGGATGAATCTAGGAAAATTGGAAGTTGTCAAAAATGAAATGGGACGCATAAAGATCGATATCCTAGGCATCAGTGAGTTTAAATGGACCAGTTTTGGCCATTTTGAATCAGACAACCATGTGATCTACTATGTTGGGAATGACAAATTGAAGAGGAACAGTGTGGTATTCATCATCACAAAGGATGTTTCAAGATCTATCCTGAAGTACAACGTTGTCAGTGATAGGACAATATCCATACACCTACAAGGAAGGCCAGTTAATACTTCTATTATTCAAATTTACATACTAACCACCAAAGCCAAAGATGAGGAAACTGAAGATTTTTACCAACTTCTGCAGTTTGAAATTGACTGAACATACAATCAAGATGTGATAATTATTACTGGTGAGTAGAATGCAAAAGTTGGAAACAAAGAAAAATCACCAGTAGTTGGGAAATTTGGCCCTGGTGATGGAAATGATGCTGGAGATTGCATGGTAGAATTTTGCAAGACCAACGATATATTCATCATAAATACCTTTTTTCAACAACACAAATGGCAGCTATACATGTGGACTTTGCCAGATGGAGTACACAGGGATCAGATTGACTACATGTATAGGCAAGAGGCCATGGAAAAGCTCTATATCTTCAGCTAAATAAGGCCATAAGCTGATTGTGGAATAGACCATCAACTACTCATATGCAAGTTCAAGTTGAAGACAATTAAAACAACTCCACAAGAGCCAAAATATGACTTTGAATACATCCCTCTGAATTTAGAGACCATCTAAAGAATAGATTTGATGCATTGAACACCAATGACTGAAAACCAGAGGAACT